CCCCAGTTGAGGGTCCAAGCTGGGCGCCGCGACAGCTGGACGCCCCAAGCGCCGCAGACTGGTGTGCGGGTATCCGCGTGAGCGCGTGCCTCGGGCTGCTGGGCGCAGTGGTCGAGCGGCGAGGCGCCGCCCCGGCAGGGCGCTCGAGGCAGCTGCGACGGGGCTTGGAGGAGGCGTCGCCTAACAGGCTCTCGACCTTTTGGCGCGCCTGGGCCACCTGCAAAGCGGACAGCATCCGGGTTGCAATGTCATTTTTGAGGGAGTTGGCGCTCGTCAGGTCATGCTGAGGAGTTGAGCATTGTGATGGGGGCGCGAGATGCGAGCGGGCACAAAGCCGGCGTCCCACTGCGGCGCGACCCTCTCGGGCCCTGCGGCAGATTGTCAACAGCGGGCCCAGCAGCAAATTGTCAACAGCGGGGGCAACGACCTCCCCGTGGCACCGATAAGGTCTTCATGGCGGCCAGGAAACGCGCGCAGCCCCACACACCCGGCCCTGGCAGACCGCATGCGCCTCCTCCACAGCCACGCGAGCCTCCCCCAAGTCGCCGCCGTCATCCCCGCCGCCGCCGCCGCCGCCGCCGCCGCCGCCGCCGCCGCCGCCGCCGCCGCCATCGCTGCTGCGGGAGCCACGGCCCGTGGCCGCGCGCGGCGTACGGGGAGCCTCTGGCGATGACGCGGCCTCCGAGGCCGCCTCGTGCGCCGCTTCCCCCCGAAGCCCCTCGAAGCGACACCTCAGCGCCGCCACCTTCTCGCAAAGACCCAGTCCGAAAAGGAAAGGGGAATGCGAGGTCCACGACATGCGTGTGCTCTGAGCCCAGGCGGCTTAGGGGGCAATATCTGGGTCTCGGTTCACGGTGGCAATGGCAACTTTGGTATGATGGGTTGCTGCTGCTGAGGACATGGTATGTACATGCGCTGCTGCTGAGGACATGATATGTACATGCGCATGCCGTGCCCCTGACTCAGAAGGCGGCGACATGCATGGATGCAGCCGGCACTGCTGGCAGGCGTCAGGTCCGGTGAGTAATAGATGCCTGATTGTGCAGGCAGCTGGCTGGACACCACCCCCCAGCAATGGCGCACCTTTGTGCTGCATTGTGGTGCCACGACAAACAGGCGCTGCAAGGAGCGGCGGCGCTCCAAGGGCGCAGCTGGGGCGCCGGAGACTGCGCTGCTGTTGCTAGTGTTGCCCTGCCCCACCTCCAGCTGCCACCTGGCCACAAGCTGCTGCTGCTGTTGCTGCTCCTGCTGGTGACTGCGATGCAGGATCCAGGTGCCTGCGCAGGCGCAGCTATGGCTGATGCTTGCGCCGCTGCTGGCCACGTCCTCGCGGCTTCCATTTGTGCTGTCATGTCTGCTGCAGCAGCAGGCGACGCAGCTGCCGTGCCCAGACTGGAAGGAAGGAACCGCCGGCCGCCGCTGGCCAGGAAAAAGCACGGGAGCGACGGCCGCCTGCAGGGGCGGCGGTGCGGAAGACTCAAAGGCGACTGCCTGCGGGAGCAGCTGCTCTGCCTCTGGCCGCTGGGCGGCAGCTGGCTGGTCTGCTGGTGCAGGCTGCACCCAGGATGCAGCCGGGTACGCACCTGCATCTGACTGCTGCTGAGCCTACAGTACTCATGCAGTGAAGGAGGGGCGGCAGTGACGATGCCCGCTTGCTCTCCCGATTGACGTGTGATTGCTGGCCTGATTATCATACTACTGTAGACGGCAAAAGCCAGAATTTGTGGGTTATGTGCACCTTGTTGCTCAGAAAACTGACTCTCGCAATTCGATCCTGCCTCCTTACCATAAGCCCGATAAGCCCCACCCCAACGCGTGTCGCACCTCTGGTTGCTGCCGCCGGGCGGTGCACAGCTGGTGCGCCAGCATCACTGCACGTCGCGCCTCCTCCACGTCAGCTTGCAGCTGCGAGAGCTGCGACATCTGCAAGGGCGGTTCAAGGCATGATGTTATGTACATCAGGCGTATGTGTTGTGCATGCGTGTGTGCGCACTTGCGTTTCGGAGGGGCCGGAGCCAGACTGTGTCCGGGGGGATGGTTGCAGCGGTTTCATGCGAGGGAGGAGGGGCATCGAACGCCACCTGCCACAAATGGCAGCTGGGAGAGCATCACAGCTGCGGTTTGCAGCGTTTTTTTGGTGAGTGTGCTCGTCCACGCCTGCTAGGAGCCAGGCTGCTAATGAAATGGCCCGTGCTGACCCCGTGACACGCGCAGGCGGCATCGGTGCCAACGCGTGAGCAGCATGGAGGCGCGCAGTTTCTGGAACGCACCTTGCCGTTGATCCATAATTTCCATAGAATCACAAGCATCTGGTACCGTATCGACCGCCACGGCCACGCCGGGCTTGCTCGCGCCGGCGCCCAGGCTGTAAGTGAGTCACGAGATCGTAAAGGGATTTTCTTAGAAGATATTGAGTTCCTGGTCGCGGTAGTCCTGTTGTATACGCGGTTCACGTCTCGAAGACGTGCCGCAGGTGGGTGTCGCCGCAGGTGGGCGTCGCTGATATGACATATGATATTGTGAATAAGGGGCCATTGGTGTTGATTGATGCAGTGGGCTTGTCTGTGCCAGAACCAACGCCGGTTTCGCTGCTGTCGCCATTTGTCATCACCCTCGCTCAGCCGTGGCGGCGCGTCCTGCATGCATCCACCCACCAGTGCGTCATGATCAGGGGGCCGCTGCATCCCCCGTGCGCATTGGGGAGGTCAGAAATGATGATGGTTGAATGCAGCAGAGATGCGGCATGTGTGCAGCCTCACATGGAGGGGGCGCAGACAGGTTGTATCCCTTGTCGATACACATGTGTGTTGCCGATTTCACCATGCTGCATTTATGGCTGTCAGGTTGGATTCAAGCTGCGTCAGCCCATTACTGTTTTCGCGCTTGCGATGCTCGCCTGCAGGCATGCAGCAGCCAGCCTTGTTGCTAAAGATCTGCATCATTTGTCGGACGCTCATTGCCTCAGCGCTGGTGCAATCCATGGCGCTGCTATTATGGATCAAGGCCATGTTGGCAATCTCCGGGGATTGGTCAAGCACGGAGCAATTGACCAAGTTACAGCATACAAGATAGCAGGCATGTGCACGTAAGTGACTAGGCCTGCGGGTATGATGGATTGCTGGTGGACAGCTGAGTTGATGAGTTTATGGGTAACACTGCTCAGAGCAGCCCCCAAAAACGGCCGCAAGGCCTTGCATATGCATCGACGGTCAACCACCTGCCAAACATCAAACGCTATGCCTCGGTCTCAAACTGTTGCACTTGGTGAGGAGCGCCCCGTGGTCTACAACAACAGGGGCGGCGCAAAGTCTTCAACAAACGACTCAAGAATTGATGCAGGCAGCGCTCGCTGCCCAAGATTCTGCTGGCTCTCATGGAACAATAGGCAGAGCGAGTGGTGCGGGCTGTAAAAGCCGAGGTCTCATCTGCGGGCGTGCCATCACGAGCGTAACACAGGCCGCTTTCGAGGCGTCACAGGGGAACCGATATCGCGCCATGCGTCTGCCGACCTCCTCGGTTGAAGCAGGCTGGCTGCTCAGGCTGGCTGCTCATCAGTGATGGCTCTCAGCTTCGAGCGGCCTGGCAGTATGCGGGAGCTCGCTCCTGCAACTTATTATTCATGGGTCACTGTGCAACATCCTGCCGCGCGCACCTGGCAACCACGGCTGGCCCTGCGTTTGTACTCAATCCATCTTGTCGCAACCCGCCACCACCAGGCGACACAACCACCAGGCCACGTTTCACACATTGTTGGCCCACTCCGCCAGTGCGTGACCTGATAGTATCAGTAATTCCTTTGATACAGAGATTTGTGCGGCGCTGACTCCTACACATGCATGTTTCAGGGGTGATGCAGTGTGCTGTGGGGTGGCTTGTTGTTGGCACCAGCGTCGGCCCAACATCACAGGCTCATTATCGAAACGCAGGTTGAGCACACCGCACGCAACCACCGTTGCACAGAGCTGGCACAGTTACAGGGCGGTCGAAATGCAAAACGAGTTTGTATCAGTACAGCTTCCCCTCCGCTCCCAAGCGCGCTCAAGGCTCTGATGACCCCAGCAGATGCTGCATCAAGTGGCGAAGTAAGCAGACTAGACCCTGACAGCCCTGGCTTGTGCCGCAAGATCACAGCAAAGCAGGAGACACCGGCCGTCCTGGATCCTCACTTCTTGGGGTGAGGCATAGGAGACGTACGTTTGTTTGACAGGGTCTTGCGCGAGCTCAGCTGGCTCTCCGCGCCCCAGGGGTGCAGAGCACCTGTCACAACGTCCGCCAGGCCTGATAAGGCAGCGACCGGTATGGAAGGACTGATTCGATCTTGATGTTTCAGCCGAGCAGAGCCTTGTGCCCCGAACGATCACTACGCTTGCTCGCGTCGCGAGCCCACATCAGTGCATGCAACGCGCACGTTTCCCTATCGTTCAAGCAGGCCTGTCGGTCGGCTGATCCTTCTCATCGGGCTGCCTAGGCCCCGCAGCAGTTGCAAGGGCCCCGAGGCTCGTCACTGAAGGTGTGACGCCGGCGGGTGTGGCCGCCCGGGCATGCGAGCGCCCTGGGCCCTGGGC